ATGTATGTAGAAATACAAACTCAGATACAAAAAAATGTTTATTGAAGAAACACTAACATTTATTGAAACGAATACCGGTATTTCGGCTGCTCCTGTAACGTTTGCCAACGCTTGACATAAATTATAAATGCATACGCGGAAAAGTACTAACAGGCCCGTGTATGCTTAGTGTTTTATAATATTTTATATAGTACACATATCCATCTAATGTAAGATGCTCAGGGCGCTTGATGTGTGGACTAGGAAATCGATCAATGACTTTCTTCTCCCTAAGGGTCCCTTCGTGTCTGTGCTACCCGGTAACCCGGTACCAGCAACTCTCGTTGTCAACCACAGGGGCTGTGTGTTCCAGTACACCGGGGTATCCCCCTACTCGTCTCGAAGGATGTACTGGGTTCTTTACAGTGCACACAAACCATTGTATACACTGGGCCTACGGTTTATAGTCCTTATCCGAGAAGACTTGTTCTACCACCAGAACCATAGGCTAGCGTGCCGTTCGAACCAGCGCCGATATTAAGGCTATAGCTTGCGGCGCCCCTGTTAACCACTCGGCCATTCGACTTACCCATTCATGAGAGATTTGTTGGCTAGTGGGGAGGGGAATTTTTCCAGGCCCCTTCTGGGGTGTCCAGAAAGGGAGCCCCGGTGGGGGTCCAGGGGCATGGCGTATCTAGGAATCATGAAGTGGAGTGCTGATATATTAGATATATTTGAAAACAAACTGGTAAACTTCACAAAAACATTTTAAATATCCTCAAATAATTATTTAAGGTTTACTATTAGATATAATTATTACAATAATACAATTAAAGTTTTAATTCTCTTTACTGAGTGTATAAGAAAATTTAAGGAAAAAATGTTGCATTTGAATGAGGAAAAAATCTGTGTAGTATTAATTATGTCGTACTATTTATCAGTGACACACATAATTAAGAGAAATCTTAAATACATAAAATACATGCAAAAATATTTCAAAAGTCAATGGGTGTGGATCGTGATTTTCTAAAAAGATTGGGTTTACTTTATACGCAGAAAGTTAAGCAGAGTTACAGTGACAGTATTATACTAAAGTTGTGTCGTCACAACGCTAGGTTGCGCTCTCTGTTGTCAACAGACGTTGGTTACCTTTCATTACGCCTGAATGACTTCATAGGCTTTCTGGAATAGGCATTTCAAAATCTAATATTTTACCATCAAAATGTACTAAAAACACAAAAGCTCGCATTATATTAGTTATCGAACACGCATATCATCATCAATTGAAATTTACAAAGAAAAAATTAAGATACAACATCTTAATATTTACGTTACAAAATGGAATCAATGGTTTGTCAGTGGAGAAAATGGCGTCCGGCTGAACACATTTTGCAACGATAGCAACAGAGTAGTATCACATGGTATTGTGACGTAACACTGTAGTACTCTATAGAATAATTATCTACCGGTAAATCTAGATTCATTACCATGATGGTAAAACATCCCCTCATCAATTAAAACAACTTTCCTGATTCATTTTCACTGCTAGACCAATTTATCCAGTGAACTTGAATCTATGGTAAGGAAACTTGGTAGTTCTGAAGGTTCATATTTTATATAGAAAAAGAAATCTATCAAATATATCTCAAAAAAACCATTAATCTGTCATTCTTGCAACCATGTGTGAGTGAATGCCACGCACACACCTCAATCCAGTATATTATGGCTTATAAGCATAAAAATCCATCTTTTTCATAATTTTTCTTAATTTGCCATAATCTTTATTTATTTTTTGTATATTTAATTAATAGATTTAGATATGTTATTGTATAGATGACATTTGCTTTCTTTGTAAAAGCCAGTACTTACTCAGGGCATTTCAATCTTTAATAGAGATCTTTATCAACTGAATGCTAGATGGAATTGCATCCTGGTCATAACGTCATCTGCTGATGACATCGTATGCCCCTTCCAGTTGTAGGTTGTACGGGGCCCAGCCTGGAGAGGATGTTATTAAATCATTGTATAGGTTAGAAAGTTCATGCGCACCTTGATCCTTGTTCCTTATTCATGGTTTTATCTTTGTTTCTTCTTACGTATAATGACTCCATGATCTGTCTCTCTTTGAGTTTGTTTCCTTTTAATTGCAAGTTATTTTGCTCTCCAGTTTGGTGCATGATTGTGTTGTATAGAGTGGTCCGCAATAACAGATTTTTGTATCATTGATGATGACATTGCTCTGAAAGCCCTTGTCATACTCCCCCTGTTTTTGTTTTAGCATCTTTTATGATTATTGATGAGTGTTTTTAATGCCCTCCTTTTGTCCCTGAAATAAACTTGTAAACAGTATTAACATGTAGCTTCATAGACTACACCACATGTATCGATTTTTTCAATCTTGTCTTTAGGGTAGACGAGGTTGTGGTTGAAGTTGTGCATGAACTTTCTAACCTAAATCAAAACATCCTGAGTAATTAAGTACTCTGTTTCTTACTAGATATTACAAAAAAAATTGTCTTCTAGATGACCTAAGTTAGCAATATTGATAAGTTGCCACAAAGTATAAATAATATTTTTATTGTCTAGTATTTCTTTGTATAAGCTTTGAAATACTCGCACATGTGCTGAAACACAGCATGAACCATTTCACAGTCTGTCAACAGTGCAAGCCTGGGTTTCTATGCATGAAACTGAGAATGGTCAGCATTTGCTCTAACTCCTGAGTAAGAGGTTCAGAGACTGCATGAAATACACTCTACCTAACCTTTCAGAAATTCACTTGCCTTTCTTATGCATAATTTCATCAAGAGAAATCAACTGCATTAAAATGCAATAATCATTTTTTTTTTTACCCTCTGTAATGTTAATATTCTCATACACACAGGCTAATCCTCTGTCATCTTTTCCTTTGTAGTAGGCTAGATCACTACATGCAGCAGAACTTCTTCCAATTAAGGGAGGACATGGATCTGTCCATGTTTCACCACCGTCTTCGCTCAATCGAAGAGAAAGTTTTTCAAATCTTGACTCATGTGCTGGGTTTGTGAAGGCTATCAAGCTTAATCCTTTTTTCCTTTCTGAGGGAATGCTTATAATGCCAGCCTAGAAAAAAAAAAATTTAACAATCAAAAAGCAAACCACCTTTGCTATCACCATCATCTTCATTCATACCTGTCAACCTTGAGAAATTTCAAAGTGTAAGATCGGGACACAATGAGTGCCGAAGGCAAGAACAGTGGCTTCAGGCCAGAATGCCGGCAAGCACTCCTGGTGTGCTTGCTGTATCTCAGATACAGTAGTTATTGAAACACGTAGGTAGAATGTTATGATTATGGATGTTAAAATTATGGATAGTAAAATTCATTACAAATTGAAAAAGAAACTAAATTTACTAAAATTTTAGGATAAGTGTAAGTTTTGCAGGTGTCTGTGTAAGACTGTAAGATTTGATTGGAATGCGCAAGACTTACGGAGATTGTGTACGGGTGACATATCTGCATCATCCATATCACAAATAATTACATCCTGTTTCAAAACTTCCTTTCTTTCTTATGCACTTCAACTCTCCTACGACCTCACTTTTGACACTTCTGAAATTTCTCCCAGACGGGGCCCGGGGCCCTACCCCCTCCCCCTCGCTGGTGCCAACCCTGCATCATCTTCCTCACTATCACCATTATCGTTAATATTATTCTCATTATTTTTATTTATCCTCATCCCTAGATCATCTTTATTATAATTAAAATGTCTTCTTGTGGGTGTAAATAATAAATCAAATGGTCCACAAAATTTTAATGACAATGTACCTGGCATCCTGGGTTAGCTTCTATCAATTTAGGTTTCAACTTGCCATTGTGGAAGGTTTTGCATCCATCACTGCTGAACACATTAAAGCGTTGCTTGCAGTCTTTCAATGAACATGTGATGCAAACTTTGTCCTTTGCATATTCAACAAGCTAATGAAAAGGTAATGTTAATATAATTAAACAATGTTATTCCCTTTTAAATGTAATACACATCCCATGCATCAAATAACCAATCAGGGCACACCTCTTGGGGTGGCCTATACTATTGGGTTAGGAGGTAACATGGGTGAGCCCATTTTCGTTACAATATAATTAGTATGTTGTTACCATGATGTATATTTCAAAACACCTAAACAAGAAGCTGAATAATACATGGATAAATATTTGATAAATAAAATGTAACAAAATGAGGAATCACTCCAAGGAAAAAATGCTCAGCCAATACCAGTATTAGAACATTGATGGAGAGCAAACAAACACTTATAAACAATAATTTCCACACATCTTGTTGCATATAAATGACACAAACTTATGCCTCCTTAAAATGCATAAAAGCCTTTGGGGACAGATGTTGAGTTTCTTTTATTATTACTGGCCATCTTATATTGTTCTTTTATGTACTGTAATTTACAACAAGAAGCAACTCTAGAAGCATGTGTGTGTAGAAGTACATTGAGTTGGTGTAAATAATAACAGTTTGAATAGACTTGCTTTTACAGCCGTCTAATAAACGTCATATGATACTCAATTTTGACAATAGGTGGCGGTATAAATTGTGCAATATTCTACTGCATTGTAATTGGTAAGTACTGTATTGTTTGGCGAGTATTGCATAACGATTGGTGTGTATTGCATAACGATTGGTGTGTACTTTATAGTGATTGGTATGTACTTTATAGTGATTGGTGTGTACTGCATAATGATTGGTGTGTACTTTATAGTGATTGGTATGTACTGCATGAGCAGGCATTCCATACGAACTACCCAATAATATTACATGTAGGCTGTTAAGCAATTTGTTCAGATATGCTGTTTTTAGTCTATTACAATGAGTGGTATAATTATTTTAGATTTACATTCATTTGTCATTTTATCCAAGAGAGAATATGGTATTAGTGATATGAGTGAAAAAAACACTCACCTGTGCATGGCCTCCAAAAACAGCATTACCTGGACTGCAGGATATTGGTACAACTTCCCAGGTGCCACCACTAATGTCACTTGTTAACACACAAAGCTGAACCTCTGCATGAATTATAAAAGCATTTTTTAAATATTCAAAGGGAAGTAAATAAAGAGCAATTGTTTATTATATCAATAATGCTATATTTAATGTTGATGGGTCAGAATTTACCAGGTATAAAGAGTCATTCACATACAAATCACAATAGAACAGCACCAACAAATTTAAATGAAATACTTACAGCTTTGTTAAATAAGTCAAATTATTATCAACTTAAGTGATTTTTAGTTTGCTGCTGCTTTCATTTTAAACTGTCTTTACTTGTGTAACTTGATGTTGTATTTCGTTTGTAATTTTAAAATTATGTCTGCAATTCAGCTTCAGCTGCAACTGAATAATTTTGTATATATGTTTGATGTTTTTTCTAAATAAAGATATCGTTTATATAAGAAGAAAAGATATAAAATTTGGACATACGCTTCGTTTGTAATTTTAAAATTGTACGCAATTCAGCTTCAGCTGCAACTGAATAATTTTGTATATATGTTTGATGTTTTTTCTAAATAAAGATATCATTTATAGAAAAGATATAAAATGTGAACATACGCTCACTAAACTTGATGTAACCAGCAACAGCTAATTTTCCTGACTGCAAGCACAGACCATGTCCTGGACCTTAACAAAATTAACAAGAATGATTAAACAAACATCAATTATTAATATTTGATTTTTTTCAATAATTTTTCTTCTTTCGAGAAATTCAAATCTCTTTACGCACCAATACAACACAGCTGTGCACTTTCTTGCATATTTTCAGGCCATTTTAAATGGACATCGATTGGATCACTCCAAGTTTCTCCACTTGAACTCTTTAGTTGAATTAATTTAACACCACCCTGCGGAGCTGTGCATTCAACACATAATAGAATGATTTCACCTTTTTTCTCATCCACAACAATTGGAACCAAGTTCTGAAATCTAGGTAAATCATGTTCCAACAATCAACATATTTATTGGCATAAAGTAATTATTTCATGAATATTTAATAAAAACAACTTATTTTATACACCATTTTTACACCAATAATTCTACAACAAAAGGTATACTGTACAATGAAATACCTTGTATCAGTCTTTTTTAATATCGGTTGTTGATCTTCCCATTCAACTCTATTGTATTCCATCAATCTTCCTCTACGTGACAGTCCTATTGTATAGCTGTCATCAACTTGCTTTTCACAAAATACAATGAAAAGCTTGTTCGCTAAGAAAACTATAGCAGGATGTCTGTGAGAAACAACATAATACTGTGGTAAATAATAACTAAAAGAGTATGAGATCAAAATCAGAACAAATCAAAATAAAAGAGAAGTTTAATATATTTTTTGAAACTAAGTTAACATGTTTTTACAAACCTGTAAGCACATTGATCATCATGTACTAGACCTGAACCAAACACGTCCACTAAAAGAATGAAAATAGTAAAATAAAATCATTTTATCATAATCTTCATTTGGTCCACAGCAAGTTTTAAGTGGAAAACACCTGATATAACATCATCTTACATATATTTTGGAAAATCACAGACATTTCTTAATCAAACTTGATTGCGAGGACAGAGCTGGTACTGGTACTTGTAGCCGTCTGATTTCAGACATTCGGCAGCTATTGACATTATGTTGGCGTTAAAAGACTGCATATTGTGATTTGTGATGAGGGACCCGTGTACAAAACAATTACCAAACACAAAAAATATGGAAAACTGAATGCTATTTACAAAATATTCTATTTAATGCTTATGGGTGAAACTTTCTTTGATAAATTGGCTTTTATCAAGTTGATTTTCATCTATGATGCATTGAAGAATACATTGGGTTATCTTTGCTCTTGTTCGGCTGGTTATATAGCTGGTTATACACATCAATGAAAGATCAATAAACAAAAACATTTTCTGTTTTGTTTAATGCAATAAAGTTAATAAAATATCATGAAAGAAAACTCACATGGCACAACAAGAGTTGCAGATGTCTGCCATATGTTTGAAGTCATTTTTTTCTTTGAAACTACCTCACAGGTATAAACACCAGCATCAGCCACTGTCACTTGATTTATTTTCAACCGAGCAAACTTTTGATCAAAATCAGCTTCATACTTCTGTCCTTGCCCTACAGTTTCCCTTTTGGTTTTTTCAGAGTCAAAGATCACTTTCTTTCCTTCAGATGTTCTTTTAAACCACCTTTGTACATCTACATTACCTTTGAGATTGTAGACACAAGTAAAGGTTGCACAATCTTCTCCATCAAATGCTAAAATATCAACTACGTGAATGGCTAAAAAAGGAAAAAACAACAATATATTTTATATATACGACAAATATGGTATGTTACAGTATGTTTAGGAACAAGAAAATATTAAAAATACATAAACAAATCATAAGTATGTAAAAGAAGATTAATTGTACAAAACAAAATACCAAAAGACTAAAGACATGCGCTTGTAAAATCTGAAAAAAAAAAAATCACCCCAAAAATTAAAGAATCACAAAAGTTATCAACTTTAAAGTAAAATAAAAACACTTAAAAAAATATTTATAAAATTTCAAGTTACTGACATACTTGTTTTTCTTTTCAAATATTTCCATAAGAAATCTGACTTTCTATTTATTATCATAAAAGTGACATTGTGTGCTTTTAGGAAGAGTATAACCTAGGTTTCCTCCAGTTTACTTGCCGTGTTGTTATTGTTTTTTTGTTTTTCGGTCAAATAAACTAATGAAATAGACCGAGTTAGTCACCAAAAATGACATCATCACAATTTCGCTGAGTGGGTATAAATTTGTACAGAAAGAGAAAAATATTTACGGTAACTTGTCCCCAAAAATGCTAAAACATCCGGAATTTCAAACCTTAAAACAGTCTAAATTCAGACCCAGTTAAGATTGTTGAGACTGTCAATCAATACTTCTCTACTGTCGGACCAAATTTAGCTAAAATATTCTAACAGGAACACCACAATAGATAACATTGTCAGCAAATAAATAAAAACCTGTTTTCAATTTTACCCCTGTTGATGAAAATTATGTCTGCAAACAAATTTTATATAAAATCATTTCTTTATAAAAGAAAAACACAATAAAAGAATGTCACAAAAAAATGTCAATGTCTGTTAAAAGCAGTGGTATTGATGATATTTCTACTAACCTACTCAAACTGGCGACTGATTCAACTGTTCCACCCATCACATACTTATAATAAACATGTCTCTTTGTACGTGATAAATGAAAGATTGCAAAAATATGCCCGGTGTATAAAGGTGAGAATCACACTGATCCATGTAACTATAGACCCATATCAATTTTGTCTGTGGTATCTAAATTACTAGAAAGAAGTGTTTTTGATCAATTATACTCGTATTTAGATTTAGAAAAGTTAATTTATGAAAATCAATCAGGATTTAGGCCTAAATTTTTTAACCGCTTCTGCATTAACTAACACTACTGAAGATTGGCTAGATGCAATTGACTCGGGAAAGTATGTTGGACTTGTAATGTTACACCTTAAAAAAGTGGATCATAAAATTCTATTTTGGCCTGGATTTCATAAGCTTAAATATTGATAAAACAGAGTGCATGATAACACATCAAAAGTTGGCAAAATTTTCAAATAATGAAATAAATATAAATATTAAAGTTGTACACTTAAAAAAAGTTTATCACTTTAAACACCTTGGCATTGTACTTGATGAGCATTTTTCATGGGATAAACAGGTTGAGCATGTTAGGAATATTTAGTGCTGCCTGGCTTATATTATCTCAAAAATCTAGTGAAGTAGTCCTAAAAAATATTCAATGTTTACTATATGAAACAATAACTGCACCACACCTTCACTTTTTTTCCCCTTAAAGTAAGCAGCTTCAAACTTTGAAAAACCGGGTCGGCCCAAATTATTACTAAGGTTTCATAATATGACTCTAGTACTGAAGCTCTACGTAAACAACTGTAACAGGCTTGACACAAAATTGTTCTACAATGAAGCTGTGAAAATATGTACAAAATTATGAATAATTTAAGCCCACAATATCTTATAGACAGATTTCATACCAAAGAAAAAATACACAATACCCGATCAAAAGACAATCCAAAAGACAAGAAAAGAAGTTTTACTTATCAAGGAACAAACGTTTGTAACTCTTTAGTAGATGAAGCAAAACATGCGGAAGATCTAAAGAGTTTCAAAAAAATTGCATCAAACTGTTCCAGTATGCTGTACTGTAGATAATTTTAGTTTAAAATTTACTGTTACCAGTACTTTCATTTGTTTTTCTTTTGCTTTTAAATCTTTTGTTTTGCTGTAGTAGTTTAAAGACCCAGCCTCTTGGAAGACCAATCTTTGTAAAAAGACTGAAATGATTTTCCGTAAATAAATAAAACTGTTATTATTATTATTATTATTATTATTATTATTATTATTATTATTATTTCAAAATCAGCCAATGTATTTCAAAAATATTTTTGATATTTTTTGTATTTTTTATGGTACAATACATCTTTAAATGTTTAAACAAAATGTGTACTTTATATTAATTATAACTATCCAATTGTTTGTACTGTTTATTTTAATACAGTAATTATTTCAATACAGTATAAATTATTCATTACAATTATTTTAATGTATATGTAACGTTGATTTGAAACATTTGATATAAAGGGGTAAATATAAGAAAAGAAATACTTTACTTTCATTTTTATGAACAATTAATGAAGAGGTTGTTGAAGAGTGCCAAACAATTCCATCACCAATAGTATTTTTAGTGAAACAATGTAACACGTAAGAACCAGCTTGTTGGTATTCAACATCAGAAATCTTCAGAATAAATTGTTGTTCCCCCTGTAAATACATAGCTTTAAACCTAGATAAATTTAAAAGATCATCCGAAGGAACAACTTCAAAGTTCGATTCATCTTCTAATTTTTTGTAGAAGACAAAAGACCTGCAATATCCAATGGTTTTAACAAATTCCAGCGTAGTTCAACATCTTCACCTTGTACAGCTTCAATTCTTTCATGTACAGACTTCAATAAAGGACCTGTGTTATAAAAAAAAAGAAACAATTCCTATAAAATTTTTACATACGTTAAATAATAAAAAAATTTTATTTATTAAAAAGTAGGAAAACCTTTCACAAAATTGTATTTAAATATTTGCTGTGGCTAACATTTCAGTACCGGATCCACAGTCGTTCGGGTCTCAAAGATCCAGCACCCAGTGTGAAAATATCTCAATGTTTCAAAGATTTTATAAAGAATGATGGACTGTATTACAATCGTACTGCTGGGACAAGTTGGGAGAAGTAATTTCCGGGAATTCTGCGGTGGCAGCTTGAAGGGTGAGGGAAGAGAGGGACTTTTAAAGATGGAGGGTCTAGATCACATCAGCCCCACTATGGTTGGTGCTGATGGTAAAAATTTTTTATAATTATAGCACCTCAAGATAGCCGGAAATCGCCTTTTCAAAATTTGAATACAAGTTTCTTTTTTTTTCCTACCCATTTTTTGAATTTTGAAATATTTAGGGGAAAGGGAAGGCTTCCCCCGCCCTTTGAATCTGCCACTGATCTGGTAAATGAGCTTTCTCAACACATTCAATTTAATTATGCACACAGTGATATCCATCGGCTCTGACTTGTGTGAGAAAATTGATAAAGCAGTGAAAACATGCAAAATTATGAATTTGCAGAATTGGGTTGATTTCCTGGAGATTCTTGTTGGCTTGCACGAGTCCGTCCAGATTTCCAGGAGACTTTGGATCCCTGGTACTGGACAGAAAAGAATGGCAATTAGAAAGATGATATGTATCCACTAAGCTTACCTTTAAGTCTAACCTAACTAGGATAAGAATAGCACTTTATCGACATTCGTTTGTTCCACAATGTATTTTTAATTACAATAACCATGTCAATCATCGATAATTATGTTTATTTTGTTACTCTGGTCTGTCTCTGAGGTATAACACCTGAGAATACCTGGTTACGTTATCTCGAGCAGCGGAGATATCACCTCGCAAAGTGACCCTATTTTCACCGCAAGTTCAGTACAGATTTACAGACACTGTCAAGTTCATGTGGAAAATCCCAGATAGATAAATCTATGCGTATGGACATGCATGAGCAGTTTTGAAGCAAACATTCTGATCATTGCCAGCACATGGCACACTAAAACTATCGTTCCCAGGCTAAGAGAGAACACTAAAGCGATATTCCTTCGGCGATTTCGTTATTTAAAACATAGTTGTTATATTACTTAAAATAATACATGTATTCCGAAAATGCGAATCTCACCTAATTCCAAACATATTATTCGGTCCTAACACAAAAATCACCTTCTTAAAACAAGACGATCATTTAACAAAACAATAAGCATAGGTCTACCAGATGCCGTGAAAACAAACTGTCATGTCATGCCATGGAGATTATAATAAATTGATCAAAATGACACGACAGTATGTATGACAAAATTGAAAAAAAAACCTCAAAGCATGTTTCTGCGGGTGATTCTTTACAGTAGCCTGGCATTTTAAAAACTTGAGTGCTATTTCCGAGCATCTAAGACGTGTAAATTTTACTAAATCTTCAAACCTCAGCCCCAACCATTGTCAGGCTGAGGTTATTGGAGACCCTTGTGCTGTACCAATCAATAAATGCTTCCGCCGCCTCTGATTATGAGAGAATGAAATTTAAATTAAAACCAATAGGGTTTCTTTATTTATTTATATAAATCTGTTTAATTAAATCTTCGTCTTACACTGAGCTTGTTCCTGTGTCACGCACGTCTGTGAAAATTTAGGCTATCTAATGTCATCCCAAAGCGAAGCACGTGTTTGCACACCACCATCGCACCCCAAAAACATTAACCAATTGGCGGTCAGGGTTTCGGAGGTGCGGTCTCTGCCCTCAGGAAAGGTCATCGTGATGACAAAAATGTGTTGTGTTTAGAAAAGAGTACAGAAGAGAGAAAATGCATGTGAAACAAAATAAAAGCATCAATTTTATTGATAATAACATTTATAATAAGAGCAAAACAAGAGGTAAAGGCCTACTGTACTGTACGAAACAGTACTTGAAATAGCAGTCGCTTGTAATGCCAAAAAGTGAGGCACTCTCTACTCCCAATTTGAATTAGAGCATGCGTATGGACATGCATGAGCAGTTTTGAAGCAAACATTCTGATCATTGCCTACACATGGCACGCTAAAACTATCGTTTCCATGCTAAGAGAGAACACTAAAGTGATATTCCTTCGGTGATTTCGTTATTTAAAACATATTATTATATTACTTAAAATAATACATGTATTCCGAAAATGCGAATCTCTCCTAATTCCGAACATATTATTCGGTCCAAACACAAAAACCCCCGACCTTCCAATTGAAAGTCCAATGCCTAAATGTTGCAGCACGCTTCTACTAAATGCTTTACCTAAAGGGAAACCTGTATTTGTTATTAGCTCTTTCAAAATACAATGAGTACTGTACCTTCAACCTTCAGCAATCCACTACAAAAATATGCACGCTTCCTTCCTTTGACTTCCACCTCACAACTGTATTCTCCCGCATCTTTAGTTGTTATAACTTTGATGGTCAAAAATGCCAATGAATTCTTCATGTCTACACCTGCTGTATAGCGTTTTTTTGAAAATTTCTTTTTTAGATGAGTGAGCAAACTTCCTGTTTCTTTAGATTCCCCCTTGTACCATCTGATATCTGATATATCTTTCAGAGAATCCTCTTTGACTTCAGTAAACTTTAAGTACACCCTGACAATACTAATCCCCTTATTGGTTGTTACATCTGGAATTTCCAATGCGAATGGAGCTGAAAAACACAATAACTGATTGACTGGTTTATTTTATGCAAATTAGATATGGAAAAGTTGTACAGTTTTGATTATCATCAACATCACCATCAACCTCAACTGCATTATTTTCACTTTCATCATTTTAATCAGCATTATCACCACCATTAAAATCATAACACCACTCACCACACATCATTGACTAAAGGTCGTCCCAGGCCAAGTACCTTTAAAAAATTCACTTATCCAAATTTTTGTGCAATTATCATGATTATTCAACTTTTACTAGCATAATATTCATAATGTATGCCTGCCACTTGTCTTTACAACTTCAATACAAGAAATCAAAAGCATGGTTGATTTCCATGATAAAGCCACTTCCTTGATGTTTGCCGAGACTGTGTTTTTATTTGCAAAGATATAAAAACTAATTCATATTTGCATGAAAAAAAATCTCTAAAAAAATAGATGCACAGAATCGTAAATACTTGTGTTGTATATAAAGGCCTTAATTTTCTGCACAATTTGCATGGAAATCATATTTAATGCAGGGAGAGTTAGGACTAATATTTTTCACAGGGGATATTTTACAGCCTGGCCCATCCTCATTCCATTTATTGCATAATAAATAAAATTGCTTTCCTCTCAATGAAGAACAATACTGTAAATATATACCTAGAAGGGGACAAGGGGACGAACCCCTTCTCTAGTCTGAAAATGATTTACTGTATTTACAGTAACCCTCCATTTTTGACTACAATTTTACAAGACTTGGATTACACATGCACATAGCAATGCATGTAGCATACATAATGGCCTTTGACACAGTTGCAGTAGCCCTACTGTACACATGGCATGTTTCTATAGCTGGCATAGCATAAGTTGTTCATACAACATGCTGCATGTTGTCAAGACTAAGAATTTTCATTAGTATTGTAAAATCCTCATGTATTGGTAAAGCAGTCTATTATAAAGTTGCTTGTTCAGGACAAGCGATTCCCAAAAATTCTTGTTCTCCAATCGTAAAAAACACTTGTCCCTTGCATCGGGCAAGTGGATTCGCTCATGCCTGATATCAGCCATGAAAATTAAAATTATACATTCAATACAATTTCACCACCCATTACAACGAAATGAACATATATTTAGTTGAACCAATGTTGGTTTATAAAATATTTACTATCAAAAGGATTGGTGCTAAACTTGAACAATAAAATTAAATAATTGGTATGATTACTTTGCCTATTTAATTTAATTTAATTCTATTTGGAAATTATAGATAAATTTTTTACTTGCAAAACAGAATCAGAAAATACCATTCAATTTTTGGTTGAGCTGTGTTTAAATTTGTCTTGTTGAAAAGGTGTAAATCAAGATGTAAAATAATATCACAAATGATGATACTATATATTTTTTTTACTTTATTTTTCTTTCTAACAGAGATTTTTTTAATTTTTCATCAGTATAATATATTTTTGCTCAGGCTGCCTCTGACCATCGTTTTCAATCTTGTATTTGGTCCAATACATAATGAAATGAATAAAAAAATAAACAAAGTAAAGAATATACCATTTGTTATACCTTTGTTGACAACAAGCATTTTATTGGCCACAGCCTGTTTTTCACCATGTAGCTCAACAATGCATTGATACTTCCCAGCATCTGATAATGTAGCCTTCAAGATCTTCAGCAAGCTGTTTCCCTTTTTGTAATCTGTAGTTTTTTCAAACTGTGAATCTTGAGTAATAATGGTTGATGTTCCATCCTTATTAAATTTCTTCCAAATACAATCCAATATACACGTATCTACTGGTCCATATTTGCAATGCATCTCAAATGTATCACCATCTTCTGCTTCTTCATCTACCTGTACCATTTTAATCCCTTTAAAGAAAAAATGCAAAAATTTAGAGAGCAGAAAAATTGCAATATATTGTAAGTTATGTGATGAAACATCAAAATTATGTGATGAAACATCAGACAGAAAGAGTTTAAAAGGGCAGGCCTATAATGTATGTTCAACTGTGGACTAAGGTAAACTCCACTGTCGTAGACTTCACTCGATGCCGATACGAATAATAGATAGTACTTAGTAGTGGCGAATATTGGGGGAGTGAATAGGGTGTCTAGCCTAGAGTTCACATAGGCTAGCCACCTCCCAACCCCTTCAGTTAAAGTTAACCATTAAACAAATGATCACTCGTCATGTGTGTGTGTGTGTGTGTTTTTCTCATGAATACATATATGTAGAAGGTTACCCTGTATGTAAAACATAAACTTTCTATTATTTTAAGTTTTTCAGATGCCATTTCCAAAAAAAAATCTGAAATGGGAGGGGAATTAAGCTCCTCCCAAAACCACACCCCACGCTCATAGGGCTAGGTACGATATACATTTATGTATCTATTTTATATGATGTCCGCATCGAGTGAAGCCTTAGATTACACAGAGGAATTTTAATAAACTTTAAATTACTTTAAAAACTATTCAGTACTTTGAACTTGCATATTGACTGTAAATGTTATGTATTAAAATTCAAATCAAATCAATCTGTTGTTTATTTTTCGCACTGATTCAAATATAAGGCCATATGGTTTGTATATTGTCTGTACATGCCATGCACCACTGTCTGCTTCATGATAGACAAGTTTTAACACGAAGGCTTCGCTCGATGCTGGCATCATATAAAGTAAATCAATAAATAAATGATATCGTAGGAGACCTATCCAGTGGTGAATCTATGATTTAGCAAAGGGGCATAATGCGAGGTGTGAAGCACCGAAATGGTAAAAGGGGGGGGGGGGGGGGTTTTGGAAGTCAATTCCCCTCAAATTTGAGTTATTTTTTTTGGAATTAGTAGACGGCTAGATGCTCTGGTATCTGAAAAGTTTAAAATAGAAAGTGTATGTTTTACAGGGTTTTATTCTACACACAAGATGAGTGATCATTTGTTTAACGGTAATCGAAGGGGTGTGGCTAGACACCCTATTTACTCCCCCTAGATCCATCTATGCTATCTTTCATTATACGTATCAGCCGAGAGAAGTCTATTACAATGGAGTTTCCCTCAATCCACTCTTGAACAACAGTATAGGCCTACCCTTCTTTTAAACTCCTCCACCTCTTTCTGTCTGATGTTTCAAAAAGTAAATTTGTGTTCCGGATAGTAAATTTAGGCTAATGTATTAAAATTCAAATCACTGATTTTATTTTTGCATTGATTCCAATACAAGGCCCTTACAAGGGCTGAAAACTAGGTCCTGTCACGATATGTTCAGAGCAGCTGACATCAGGCTGACCATGGACTGACACAAACATGGTCTATAGGAAGAGTTGTGAATAATTCATGAAATTTTACCAAACTTGCCTACAAAAAAAAAAATGCGCGCAGTCAAGGGCCAATCTGATATGCACTTATCTACTGGTCCACATTTGCATTCCATCACAAATCTACCACCCTCTTCTAGTTTTTTATCTATCTGTACAATATTAATCCCTTTACAAAAATAAGGCAGACATTAAAGAACAGACACATTACATATAATTGCAAAATATTGTAAGTATGGGAAAGACTCATTTTGTAAACAGGAAAGAATGCATGCTAACCTTAGACTTTCACTACTTCACTAATAAAAGATGTCTGATTATGCAACACAGTAACATCTCTTAATTACGAACATCCCAATTACAAACTCACGATTTTAAAAACTCAATTTGCGGTGATGACGTCATTATGAAAAACTTGTTATTTTATATTGCATTGCATTTTAAATGGATGCTACATACACATTTTTAACTACAAAAACCTTCAAATTGTATTTAAAAATCTTCAAAAAAACATATACCATAAAATGTTCCATCAACCAAAAAAGGAAACATTTAAATCAATAAGTTGATATAAAACTTCCTTTAAAGCAACAAAAATCTATAATTTTCTGCCGAGATATATTCCATTTTGAGCTCTGCAAGGTTGTTCAGGCAGCTAAATACAGTAGGAATGTAGAGTCTCACTTTTGTTCATTGGGGGAGCTTCCAATGGATAAAACTAGTGTGGTAATCTAATTTGCGATCATTATAAAAAGTAATAACGTTTCATTCATAAATCATTTAAAATGAATACATCACATAAGTACAGACAAATGTGGCTTCTGTGTTTGCACTCACATTTCCTGACAAAGGAAATATAGCATTAGGCCTGGCGTCAGTGGCAGTTCTAGGATTTCTAGGGGAACTAAGCTGTCCGAGAGGGGCCTTGAGCTCGTAGGCCAAAGCTGGGGAAAGGGTTGAGAGGGTTCCCCCCTCCCAAATGCGAATTTTCTTAAGAAGCAACCTCTGGATGGCCGGAAATGGCACTCAAGACTGTGACAGACATGTGTTGGCTTGGTTTGGGCCTATTTTTATATTTGGTTATGGTCTGACTGCTCGACTAGCTCTATCTGAATGGGGAGGGCCTTCAACTGTCCGGTGAGGGACTTAAGTCCCCCTGTCCCCACTGGCACCATCATTGCCTGGCATACCCTTACTACTGAGATGCTATGAAAATTCAAACTCTCTGAATAACTAATTTTCTCAATCAAAAACTTTGGATGGAGGGGTACGTAATCGAAAGATGTTACTGTGTTAACATTATTGAACATAAACTTATGATAATGAATGATATTTTAATGAAATAGTGAGATAACTTACAATGAACACATGATTTTCTCTCGTCTGAATATAGTATGCCACGTCTCACTATGGTGCACTTGTAGTCCCCTCCATTTGATCTCAAAGGGTTGGAAATTGTCAAACTGACTGTTCCTCTACCATCAGCATCTACGATAAATTGATCTTAAAGGGTCAACCAACATGTAGTACATTATTATTGTTTTCATCCAATACATAAAGAAGTAAAATGTGCTTCCTAACCTACTTATGTAGTTTTAATTTATTACTTGGTATTTCTGAAGCACATAATACTATACTAAGTAAATAATGCAATGTAGAATATTAGGCCTAGAGTAGGATAAGGCTAGCGCGACATGCGGACGTTGGTACGAGTAGGTTAGTCTACAAACGTCGCCTAAAGTAATTGATTTTACCCGGCAGAATGAAAGAAGGAAACTCCGCTTTTCAGTCGTCTTAGGCACTCGTTTTTGACAAACAATGACCTTTCAGAGGTCAAATTGCTGTCAAGAATATGAATTGGCTGCTTCGCAGCAATTAATTTACATGACTTTGCACTATGCACTGAATAGTTAATAAACATAAAATAAAAATAAATTACACATGTACAATGTTATTATAAATGTATATGAAAATTATTTTCTTTTCTATGAATTGAATGAATTGAATTTCCAAATGTGAATGTGTTCAAGAGCAATCTGAAAGCTTTCCCTTTTTCAAGAACATTCTAAACAAGTGCGACAGCGCCACTGAACATTTCTGGATATTGGCGCTATATAAATATTTTGATTGATTGATTGATTGATTGATTGATTGATTGATTGAATTGCCCAAAATTGTTGTCTTTGGTAGCAAATACTTGGTTTGGAAGCCTATTATTTGCCATTTTGTTGATTTTTATCCAGCAGTTTATCGTTCTTAAAATTTGATAATATATGATAGAATTCTACCCAATCCATTTCTCACACCTTCATTTGGCCATGATTGTTGGACGTTTAAAACAAATTTACAATGTTTTATATGTACACTTTCTATGTTTGCAGTCTTTCTATACCCAAAGTTCAGACCCATACAATGATACTGGAATTACTTGTCTTTTAAATAGTTGTAATTGTATTTCTGCAGATGTAAACCCTAAGTTTGACATTTTATTTCTTACTTTAAACAATACTGGTTTCCCAATTTCTGCCTGCCGTATTGTCATGATGCTCCATTTTCCATTAAAATTAAAACCTAGATATATTCTTTAATGATTTTAAGCTTACCCTATCGATATAACATTTATCATCTCTTCCTAACTCGATTTTGAAATACCATAGCTTCAGTTTTTAATTTATTTATTTGTACTTTGTTAATATTGCAGTATTGTCTAAGGTAATTTAATGTTTCTGTAAACAGATTCTGGAGTAAGAAAATAAACTAAATCATCTGCAAATAATAGATGTGATATAATATTATTATCAATTGAACAATAATGAAGATTTTCTTTTAGTAGGTTTTTTTTCAAGTCATTTAGGAATAGAATAAAAAGAATAAGAGAGAGAAGACAACCTTGCTTTAAACCTCTGTGACAATCGATGTTATTTGTCAAGCCATGGGTGTTTTTATTTTAATTTGTGTGTTTGTGAACATAGATTGTATTAATTAACATTTAGAGGAATATTTAAATCATATAATTTACAAAATAAAATTGATCTGTCTATGCAATAGAAGCATGTTTAAAGTCAATAAATGTGCAAAACAAATTACTCCTCTTTTTCTGTAATGTCTTTTTAACTTGCATTTCATAAATGCATTATAAGTAGTGCTGTATCATTTGTTTAACTTCTACCCATTCTCTTATCCTAATTTCAATTATTTTAACAAAAATTTACTAAATATAGACAATAATGTAACAGGGCGATAATTCATTGGATTGTCTGGATTGTTGCCTTTATGTATGGGTATGGGTACAACTATTCCTTGTTACCAACTTTTTGGATATTCACTTCTTTTCAGAAATTTATTAAATAATATTGAAATACATTCTAATATACTTTGTCTTGGGTTATGTCATTTTGTAATCGTTTACTTTCCTCATCATGTTTTATATGTTGTGTCCTTTTGTCTAGATTTATATATGTACTATGAGTTTGGTTGATTAAATATTGTTTCAAAGTTTTTTATCCACCGTTTACAAGTAATATTTATTTGTATCTCTTCTTTATTTTTAAAAGTTTCCCAGAAATCCTTTCCAATTTTATGTGAATTTACAATAGCCTTCTTTTCTTGATGTTTATCATTATGTCTTCTCTTTCTCCTTATCAAATCTTTGTACTGTACACTCTCTTACATTTTATATATACATTGAATAGGAGGACTAATTATTGTTTAGCTCCACTATAGCCTGGTTCACGTCGAACTTTATCTAGATATACCCGTCTTGAAACATGATACGATAATCCCCTAATTGCGTTCGATGCCAAGTTAGAGCCAGATAAAAAGCCAGCCAGTTTCAGGCCGTCGACGTCACGTGGAAAAACTTGTTTAATAAAACATCTACTGTATTTTACGAACCTCTAGTACCAAGTGGTATTCGTTCAAAAAAAATTGTAAACTACTGTAGAGAAGGTGTGAGTTTCCACTACTTAACCTAGACGACCAGTACGAACCAATGACAGAGCAGCAGCGTATTCTATCGCAATCTAAGTAGTAGATTCTCTAGTAGCAATGGTAATGTTTATTTGAAATACTGTTACAAAAATCTGAATGAATTTATCCTCTACCAATGTTGTAAGATATGTACTTGTGCAGCTTTTGCTTCTTTTTATATTTCAAAAATTTATTAAAAAGCACAAAAATAAGTTGTACAAAATGTACTTAAAAAGTAAATAAATACACAAATAAAAGACTAGAAATAAGTAAAATATATTTTTTTTAAATAAATAAATAAATCAAAATATAAAAATAAATCAAATGAATAAATCAAAAATAAAATCAAATAAATGAATAAATAAAAATCAATTTCATTCTTGCACAAAATTTTGGTAAAAACCTGTATTTCATCAACACAAAACAAATATTAGTTAAATACTAAAACAAACACTAATAATAATACTAATACTTAAGGCTCACATGGAGTGCCCAAGACTCACCCATACTGTGGAGCTGTGAGAGAGACCATATGCACAAGGGTCTCAAAAGCATTTAGCCTTTGAATTAGCTTGGCTTATCTACATAATAAGCAAAAATCTTTTAAAAAAAAATGTATCAATACAGATATTATTCAAACACAGACAAAATAATTGCTTTCAAATTAGCATTCTGATACTAAGCAAAACTTTCAGAACTACTACATGCACAAAATAATAAATTCTATCTATGCATTATGATTTTCATTCAACAGCAAATGAGTAGCCACTATACCAATGACACTCAATCAGTTGGGTTTTTAATGAAATAATATTTATTCGGCATAAAAGAACAATTTAGCCAGGATGCGAGAATAGGCGAAAGCCTAAACAATCAATGTACTCGCTCCATAGAACACAAAATAAAAATAACAAATTTAAACTTTTATACTAAAAATTTTCATTGAAATTAGTTAATTAATACATTGAAAGAAGATATTTTGTAAGAGCAGCCTTAAATAATGAAATTGACAATAAAAAGTCAATAGACACACAACAAAAGCATATGTCAAAATCCAAGTTTAACCCTTTGGAGTCCCAAGTCACCTACCCTTGGCCAATTAACTGGTTTTCAATAGATTTGGGGAAAATGCATAATACATTTTTATCACTACCTTTCTGCAAATGTTGGTTTGATTGTTGGGCAAAATGTTTTGGGATTCCGAAAAATAAAAATAGCAAAATTGTTTGACCTAGGTCATATGTTATGTGCACCAAAATTGCAATTTAGTGGCCAAGAAAGAGTGTTATTTTGTTATATAGTATTAAGATAACTTAATATAGGCCAAATCAATAAAACCATTGGACTGAACTTTTACCTCACTACCCCATTACCTCACTAATTCAGTAGACACCTGTTGAATGTCTCCTTAATTATTATATGAAGTCTTTGACAGGACAATAGCCTGTGACAAAAAGCCCAAGTGGTCAACTCCTTGCATTTGATTTATAAAATAAGCTCGATTGAGAGACAGCTCGTTTACTAAATATAAGTTAAGTTCTACCCACAAAGTTGTTATATTATCTGACCAATAGAAACTCCCCAAAATGATGTAATAGTCAAATGATTAGGATAAGGTGATATCTTTCAACCAATCAGAGAAAGTCCACCACACCCCAAGCTTGTATGAAAAGTAAAGTATTAGTTGTCCAGAGAGGACTTCCTTCTGATAACTTGAAGGAAACACTATGTCTCACAATCTTACTTGTATATATCACGCAGTGTGAATAAAAGCTTTGCATTATAACCAGAAGAGATGTAGTCAGTTCAGTTATATGAAGTAAACCATCTCGCTTGTCATATCACTAAATCATAGTAAAGATCCAGTCTTTGTATCCGGAACATACATTGGAATCGGGCACAACAACTTGAGCATTACATGGCGAACTGCCATACGCAATAATACAATTTATCCATAAACCCTGTGTGAACTGTCACTAAAAAAAATTCATATGCTCATGATGTTACATATTATTATTAATATTGGAATATGTTGTATTCTACAGAAATAAAATGTGTTTGGTTAAATAAAATTATATTTATTATGAATTGCTTTTTGTCCTAGGTCACAAAGGTCATTGAGGGCCAAATTTGGGGAATGCACGCCCCTCCCCCTCAGACCTATACCTACTGTACACAGGCCTATTTCCAACTAAGGTGGACTACTGGACCTACGAAATGTTTCAATAAAACTAATAAATTGATGAAATAATAATATAATAACATAGAAGATGAGGAGAGGGATATTGAAATATGTACATGACCAAACCCAACATAAGCATTTTCAAACCTAGGCCTAGCATTACAGGTTGCACTGCTAGAAGTTTCTAGTGAAAATCTTTACTCAGAATCGTATTCAGGTTTGCTTAGCTCCACTATGGGCCGATTCGGACGAGTAAAATTTAACTGGGTACCACCAGCGTGTGGCAATTAAATAATGCCCCTGGGTATAGAAAATTCGAAAAACATCTGGCCCAAA